TTTTTTTTGCAATAAAAATCAAAGTGTTTGTGGTACTAATTTGGAAATATTTGCACATATTTATATCAGTAAATGCAACTTTTTAATTGCTCGCTGTATAGATCGCATTCTATAATCTGACATTAATTAAGGCTGAGGCAGCTGTTTGGTCCAAGTAAGAGTTTTTGAGAAAAATCTGCAATAAACTCCCAATTATGTATTAATGCGAAAAAGTGCGGGGACTTGCTGATTTTTGCACGAATTTCCACAATAATTTGCGAGAAACTGGATGGACTGACTGATATAATTGGGCAGTAAACGGAGAAACTACATTGATTTGATTGATAAAATAATATGTAAGCGCACTTAATGTTTTGTCTGAAACTTAGAGGGTCACATAAAAAGCTACGGCCGGCTGGATTTGGAAATATTTGCAATTTTTCCTGGAGTTTTACACGCGTGCTTTACGGGATAAAATGACCAATGAGGAGTGTTTGTAATCTTTCCACTGCTTAACGTCTGCATTTTAATTATGAACAGTTTTGATACCTTGTTGGTTAGATTGCAGCTTGCTATAACTGGCTGAACTGGTGTGTTTTGTCACCGCAGGCTGCTGATGCATCACATCAGAGACTGCCTTCCCGAGCTGAAGACGAGGATCAACGTGCTGGCGGCGCAGTACCAGTCTCTGCTGAACAGCTACGGCGAGCCCGTCGAGGACAAGAGCGCCACCTTGCTGCAGCTCATCACCAAGTTTGCTGCAGAGTACTGCAACACCATAGAGGGCACGGCCAAGTACATCGAGACGGCCGAGCTGTGAGTCGCGTCTCTAACCCTGGGAAATTCACAAATGGCTTCTTCAATTTTAAACAAATATTCAAAGTTTTTTTTGTTTTTTTTGTTTTTTTGTTTTTTTATATTTCTTCAGATGTGGCGGCGCGAGAATCTGTTATATTTTTCACGAGACGTTTGGTCGCACTTTGGAGTCTGTGGATCCACTGGGCGGCCTGACCACCATCGACGTGCTGACGGCAATCAGGAATGCAACGGTTGGGTTTTTTTTTTTTTTTTTGCTGTATTTTACTGTTAAGATCTTCGTCTCAAGCGGAGTCTTCAGGATGGGTCACGGTTTGAATCTCTCTCGACAGGGGCCGAGGCCCGCTTTGTTCGTGCCCGAGGTTTCGTTTGAGCTGCTGGTGAAGCGGCAGATCAAACGCCTGGAGGAGCCCAGTCTGCGTTGTGTCGAGCTGGTTCACGAGGAGATGCAGAGGATCATCCAGCACTGCAGCAATTACAGCACACAGGCGAGAAAAGCCCTCAGAGACATCCAGAGGCATGCTGGGAATGTGCAAACAATAAAACATGCGTGCTAACCTTCCTGACTTCCTTTCCCCTTTGCAGGAATTGTTAAGATTTCCAAAACTCCATGACGCCATCGTGGAGGTGGTCACCTCCCTCCTCAGAAGGAGACTTCCAGTCACAAACGACATGGTCAGAGTCTTATTGATCGCCGGTGAGCATTCTGTTGAAGTTTTCAAAATCTCATCAGTTTTATTTTCTAATTTCTCTTCAGGTTCATAACCTGGTTGCCATTGAGCTATCCTACATCAACACCAAACACCCTGACTTTGCAGATGCCATTGGCCTCATGAACAATAATCTAGATGTAAGAAAATTAGATTTCAAATCTTCTGCCTGTAGGATTATTTAATGGTGTTGGCAGCACTTTGTTTGTGCTTCTAGAGCAATGCTTCTAATATAATTCCACTTTTTTAGGAGCAGAGACGCAGCAGAATGAGAGACTTGCCTCCCTCCGTTCCCAGAGATAAGGTACGCTCTGCCTGCGAACGTTTTCTTAAAAGCTCGACAGGATTTGTTTAATGTTCTTCATTTTGCCAGTTTCAAATTGCTTCTGTGTCTGATATCTGTAGCTCCTGATCGTTGTAGCTTCAGCCTGTTTTCTATTCGCTCTGTTCTTCCTCTGGTTTGCTTTTAGTCTTTTAAAAGCCCCGTTGGGCAGTCTGTGTCCCCCTCTGAGCCTCTTCTCCTGGAAGGGGAGGCCGCTAAGGTGTGTCACTTTCTGTTGCTGCCTGCATACTTTACATCTGTTCTCCTGCAAACTGAAAACTCTGCTTTTGTTTGCTCTTAAACTCATGAAGTCATTTTTAAGATTTATTGGTGAATCCAGGTGTTGAGGAATGCGGCCAACACCTCCACGCCAGCAGCTCCAGCTGTAGATCTCCCTTTACATTTATGGTGACTTGTACAAACCCCTCTCCCCCCAAAGCTTTTTCACATTTGGTCGTAATAAGACTCTACATCTTTTTCAGGTTTTAAAAGATGTGTCTTTATTAGAAAAATTCACAATGTAAAAGCCAAATACCAAATTTTAAAGTTGTAGTCTGCTAAGATGGCGATAGGTTTGTGAGTACGTTAGCGGGTCACTTTAAATGTTAAATTTGTCCGCATGCTTCAACAATCGCATCGTAACATTTCATCCTTAACTTTCCTCTTGAATCTGACATGTGATCAATAACGAGAACATAAACAAGCATGAAACTGACCAAAGGACATTTTTGAAATAGTGAAGGCTTTACTATTGCATTTATTTTGGTCAGCCTGTTTTTTTGTTTTTTTTTTTTTTTTTTTTTTTTTTTGTGCCTCTTGAAAGTAGATATCTTGAACTCTTTTGTCGTCAGGAGAACTTACAGCATGCTGAAAGTTGACATGGTTTGATTTTGATCGGTTGTATATTTTACCCTCTTTTCCCCACCCTCCATTTTTCTCATGCTGTTGAGCCTTTTGACAATCGTTTGTCTTCTCAACGTAGGCAGCAGCTGCTAGCCTTCAGAGCGGTTCTGTTAATGAGCAGGGAGATGGAGGCACAGGCAACTGGAGAGGCATGTTCAAGAAAGGAGAGGAGGGTCTACCGGCTGACAGGACGACACCCCAACCTCTGTCCGCCATCAGCCCGCAGAGGGGCCACGCCGTCAACCTGCTGGATGTGGTAGGTGCTCTGAACTGGCTTTAACTGGTCAGATTTTCAAAGTTGTTTTTTTCCAGTAGCAATGAAATATGGCTGCAGGGGTTGATATGTATTCTGGAGTAACTACAAATTGGCTAAATCTGCTGTAATACCGGTCTGGTTTTATTATAAAGAAAAAGCTTTATGGAATCCAAAACACTGGTAACTTTCAGATCTACTGGCAAATAAAATTAAGCCATATGTATTTGTTGTTGCATGCTGCTCACACTAGGGGGCAGTCTTCTTATTTTGTGACTGCTAAATAAAGAACAAAGGGACATTGTAGAAAAGTGGAACAAAGTGTTTTGAGACCAAAATAGAGTATTGACTTGAATTGTAAACGGAGAGATAAAACAGCTGGACGGCAGACAAGTTTGTTATTCTTACAGAGATTTGTTCCGTTACCCCACATGAGCAACAAAGGTTTAAAAAGATGTGTGTGTATATATATATATATATATATATATATATATATATATATATATTGTGATTGTTTCCCTTTGATTTCTGACATTGAAATGTGAAAAAGATAATAGTCTGTATATTTTTAGTTTACTTGTTGTATAAATCCTTTTGAATAAGTGTCAGAGCATCAAGAAGCTAATCTTCATCCTTTTCTCACCAGCCAGTACCAGTATCCAGAAAGCTGTCTGCTCGTGAGCAGAGAGACTGCGAGGTCATCGAGAGACTCATCAAGTCATACTTCCTTATTGTTCGGAAAAATATCCAAGACAGGTACACAGATGTTTTTTGTTTTTTTTTATTTATTATTATTTTACTTATATGCTAACCATATTAAATAAATGGTAAAAACTGTGATTTCTACTTACTGCCTGACCTAAATCATTGTTTGAACTCAGTGTACCAAAGGCTGTGATGCACTTCCTGGTGAACCACGTGAAGGACTCCCTGCAGAGCGAGCTGGTGGGTCAGTTATACAAGACCACCCTGCTGAATGACCTGCTGACAGAGTCTGAGGACATGGCTCAGAGGCGCAACGAGGCCGCTGACATGCTAAAGGTGACGCGTTCTTTACACGGCGCTACGATGTGCTAAAGCCACAGTCGGCGTCAATTAGATGAGAGGCTTGATATCGTTTGTTTTAAAGGTCGGCGTAAGAAGGGTCGTTGCTTAAAGGTTCGACGGCTTCTTATCGGGTGAAAGTAAATGTCAGACCTCAAGCATTTGAGCTCAAAAGTGAAGCTTCCAGTCTGTGAAGATTTTGATGTTTTGTCATCTGCTGGTTGCTGCACTTGGTTTCATGGAGTCAAAAGTCAATACAGGTGCTTTAAGAAAATCTGAGCGCTTCGCACTTCAGCAGGCTTTAGAACAGTGGTTATTAACGTACCGAACCTCCCCAGATGCATATGCGCATTCACCGAACCCTTCTTATTCCTTCATATTATGAAATTACATATTTCTGCGACATAATTTTCAGTTTTCAGTAGCTGTATATGGGGCAGGTCAATAAATCAATAACAATGGATATACAGTGATAGACAGGCGATCAATATTAGTAAAAGTGGGTCCGTTAAAATATTCAACAATTTCGCTGAACTTCGACCCAGAGCCGCACAGCATTCTGGGGGATGTCGGCAGAGAAAAGCCTTGAGATACTCAACCTCTCCTGGCTAGCTAGCTAAGGAAGGTTGGTGGCACCAGCTCACTCACTCGCTCTTTGGTTACCTAGCAACAACATGTTGAGCAACTAGCGCAAGAGTGTTTCAAAGTTCCTCCATTGTGCCTCATAACTGCTTAAAAATAAAATAAATTAAAAAAAACAACGGCGTGGAGTGAAAACTGTAGATGAATAAGGAAAGGTCCTGCCGACAGCTTGGCATTTCAGATATTTAAAACAAAAAACTAATCAGTAATTATCGACATTGACTGAGATGAAACACGATGCGTTTTTCAGTCACATCGTCCAGCCCTAACTGTATACCATAATCTGTCAAATTAATGACTTTATTGCTGCACCACAACAATATTATACTTTAATATTAGTTTTACATATTCCCCTATCCGAATCCCCCCCCCAAAAAAACACTGTTAGTTTTAACTGTTTTATGTAAAAACGCTTTGTTTCACGCACCTACGTGTGTGTGTGTGATATTAGGGCTAATGCTCCTCTGTTGCCGTGTCCCTTTGTGTCCAGGCTTTGCAGAAAGCCAGCCAGGTGATCGCAGAGATCAGAGAAACCCACATGTGGTGAGCGTCGCCGCTCTCCATCAACTACCGTTCATGGCTTCTGGGACCGTCATCCTCACAGACCATCCGTCTCCAGCATCCTCCTCCGACCGAGTCCCGACGCGCCTCGGAGCTATGAGACCACTCGTAAAAATGCACTGTCGTTGGAAACGTTCCTCACCAGTATAAAATTGTAATGTACAGAACAGCGAGGACTGTCTATAAACAGGGGATGGTGTGTGGTACCCCCTCTTTATCAGCATTACACACATACTGTAGTCCCAGATTATATTTTTCTTAATGTAATCAAAGGCAGAAACATGAGAAATTTTATGTCGCCACTGTGTGGAGTCTTGCTGGGAAACTTCTGCTCCTATTTTAGATTGAAATAAAAGCTATAAATGATTAAACGGTACTAAAAATGTCTACTCTTTATTAAAAGTTACCAGAATGTATTACCTTTAAATGAAAGTTTAGATCTACTAACACATTTGGTTTCTTGTTAATATTTGTGTTTAAAGCTAAATAAGACATATTTGTTGTCATTCAGATCTTTTTATTATTATTATGTGAGACAAATGCAGATAGGGACAAATGGGCTCTTAATGGTTTATAGAAATGAATCAGATTGGATGAAATGACCTATTTATTGTTTTGATCTCATGGCGGTTGACATGTACTCTAAGACAACTGGACGATAAACAGAATGGGGAGTATTTGCCGCGAAGGTCTTCCTCCTCTCCGTCTCGCAGCAGCTTTACCTCAGACGGCCGCCCATCTTCCCCTTACCGCGACCTTTGGCACTGAAACGTGGAGAGAAAAACACTCAGAACATCAGTATGCAGGGTACAACATGTATTGTGTTACACAGCACAAGGAGTGAGCCTAATCACTAATGTACTTCTTTTTTTGTTTTGTTTTTTGAAGACTTGCCTCTGGTGGTCTTGAACTCGGCAGAGAAGCTGGTTAATCTGCAAGGAAACAAACCTCAAGTATCTAGTGGCTTGCAGAAAATCACAGAAGCTAACGTGACATTTGACATGTAAGCAAGATGCACTGACGACGCTTGTTTTGCTTTGCCAGACTTACGTCGTATTTCTGTCTTCTAAGTTTTTCGCTGAGATCAAACTTCTCGGACTCCAGGCCCCTCAGTGAGTCCCACAGCTCCTTCGCCTTCTCCCTAAATGCGTTTGTTGTAATTTCTCATTAGATTGACATCTAACAGCAACATTTTCATGTGTATTAAAACCCGACCGATATTCTGGGACTAACTGAGCAAAAGAACAAGCCAAGTTGAGTCGTACTTGAGTTTGTCCTCACTGAGGTGATCGACGGTTAGCGGCTTCCTGCGTTCGGCGAGGATCTTCTTCTTCTTCTCCCTCTCGGTTTGCTTCTTGCCTCCTCTCCTGGTGTCACTCTGTTTATCAGATGAGGAGTAAACTATTAACTTTCTCACAATGAACCAGGAAATAGCAGGGAAAAAAAAAAAAAAAACTAACAATAATTCAAATATTAGAATAATAATGGCATTGGTTCGGTTTGAGTAACTTTGTATTTCACATAAAATACTTCATTCAATTAAATGCAAATTTCAGGTTTGCAGGCATACTGACACCAACAATTCAAAAGTGATTAATGTATATAAAGAAATCTAAAAACGATGACTGAAATCATGAACTAAAAGAACTGCAACTCATGCGTTAAGACGTGCATGATTATCTCAGCAGACCAATCAGCTTTGTCTACAGGAGTGTTAGCCCCGCCCACTGATTCTAATAACTAAAGCTAATTATATAAATTCAAAGTGCAAAAGCAAATACTTAAAAATATATATTCTTCTAACATATAATGAATATAAATACAAAAAAATCTGATAATATTTTTTATTGATTTTTTTATTGATTTTTTTTTATTGTAATTTATTCTATGTATTTATTTTTCTAAATTTTTTTAATGACTTATTTATATTTTCACCCATGGCATTTTCAGCCCTTTATACCTGAAAAATACAGTCAACTATTGCTTTGTGGGGTTATGGGTGTTTAAATTGACAGAAATTATTTCATTAAATTCATTAAACAAAGTTATGTAAGGAACAAACTCATTTAGTTTTTTTTATATACATCTACTAGTTTTTAACTTGTCTACTTACTTCAAGTAAGATCTTACGATTGCCATATATATACATTTCTTTTTAAAGTCTAACTTTCCTATTTTGATTCTAAATTTAAAACGTTTAGCAAATTAAAATCCAAATGAAGACCTTTTGTCCAGCGCCGTACTGTTGGCTCATGTTCGAGAGCGCCTTCTTCTTCTTGGCGTCCTCATCCTGCTTTTTGCGGTGCTCCTCTTGCTCCTTGCGCTCCTTCTCCTCCTGCAGGAGGGTGGAGTTTTATGGGAGGGGGTGGGGGGTGGATTTAAAGGAACAGAAGAAAAAAAAAAAAACTCTCTTTTGGTGCTGCCAGGTACCAAAATTTAAACCACAGAGAACAGTGAAGAGGTGAGTATCTCTGCAGAGAATCCGTACAGCAAGTCTGGCCTGCCTCTCCTTCTCCCTCTCGGCTCTGATCCTCTGCTGCTCGGCTCTCTCGGCTCGACGGTTTTCCTAAAGCACAATTTGTACGCAGAAGTTAGAGATGATTATTATTATAGAGCCTTGTCAGATCAGCCTCACTCCTCCGAAGCAGAAATGCTCACAATTCTGTTGACCAGGGCGACCAGCTCCTCTTCCTCCTTCTTCCTCTGGACGAAGTGAGCTTCAATCAAAGCCTGCAGCTCACCCAGGTCTTTCTCCTGCCGCTTCCTGTAGATGTCCTGACATCACAGGAGGAAGCGAAGGGCCATCCTTTACGACAAGACCTAATAGGATCCAAGTGGATGTGGCACTATGAGAAAAGGAGATTAACTTACATCAAAGTCCACTTTTTCCCCATCAGGCATCTTTGGGGCTGAAATGTTTGTCATGAACCTGCAGAAGGTAGAGATGAGTTGTTACTGCATAATATGAATCCTGATGGCAGTGGAAGGCTGACTGCTGCAATGAGGAGAAGCTAAACACTCACTTGGGTTTGGGCTTGGACTCATCTAAAGAAAGGAAAACAGTCTAGTCATTAAGGAAGTGGCGCATGTTTTTCCACCACCAGACAAATATGAAATCGTAGAGGTCAGTGTGAGTGAGTCGTTTATTGAAAACACTTTAACATATAACCGCGCCCCTTAATTCTTTTTTGTTTTTGTAAGATTTTGTCACATTTAAACCGTATTTTCAGAAAACCGAAGGGATTCACATGTCTGGATCACTAGTAGTTGTGACCTCCACAAATCCATTTCTAATGGCAAAGCGGCAAGAAGAACGGCTTTTCAGCTGTAAGACGTGGCAGCATCATGCTGCGGGGAAGCTTTTCTTGAGAGGGGAGGACGGACAGGACAGTTACAGAAGAAAGCTCGTTAAAAGCTTTTACAAAAGGAGACTGTGGGCACAGGTTCACCTTACAACAGGACGATAGAACTACGACACAATGGCTTAGTTCAAGTGTTAGAACGGTCCAGTCAAAGTCCAAACCTAAATCCCATTGAGAATCTGTGGCAAGACCTAAAGTTAGCTCAGATTCATGGTGACAGGAAAAAGTTGTGCAGCTAATTTTTAACCCAGAAGACTGAATCAAAAATGTTTCTTTAAGAAGTTATTTGTAAAAAATATTGTTTTCCTTTCATTTCACAGTAATAAGCTCCTCAGAGTTGACCTGCCGGGGGAAATGCCACTGATGTTTGTGGTTGCAATGGGAAAAGTAGCATAAAAAAAGACCTTAGTGCAAATACTTTTGAAAAGGCGCAGCTAGAGGAAGAAAGTATGTGATCCGTTTATTAAACGTGTTTTATTGTCATTACTCGGCTCGTGGCTGCGGACTGGTGTGAGAACACGCGGTTCTAAAACATTCAACTTTCTTTAGAGAAAATGTCCAGACGAGCCGTAAAGATTCCCAGCACACTGACCTCAGCGGTGTGTAAGTCAAAACTCAGATAAAGTAACCGTCTCATTCATGTTACAAATAAAAGCCTTGAAACTTCTTGTGTTTTTGTCTGACGTAGCTTTCTAGCTATCGGCTTTATTCATGTATTAAAAAAAAAGAAGATACTAATAAGTGTCAGAATTATATTCTAGTTTTATAAACACTCATTTGCACATCATTAAAAGATAAATCCAGAGTATAAAGCTCTGATAGGTGGGATTGATGTTTGTCTTTGCCACATTCAGAGTTTCCTGTTGGCCTGACAATCAAATCCCCATAAAGACCCTATAAGATGTACAGTAAAGATATTCATACCCGTTCCAAAACGGGGAAGAAAAGCACCACGAATGACCCATATAAATTTATTTTCAGCCGTAGTGTGGCCCTCTTTCCAACAGCTGCAACAGCTGAGGTTATAATAAAGGTTGATCTCCAATCAGGAACATTTCAAAAATCCACCAAGGCTAACAAAGAGGGCGATTCTTGAATGGTCTCAGTTTGAGACCAATACAAGTGTCCTAATATTAAAAAAGAAAAAAAATAATTTATCAACTGCGAGACAAATACTGGTGTATTTTGAGCTTTGTGCGACTTAAATAAAATAGGTTCGGTATGTGAAATCTCAGTTTTCTTACCTTCTCCCTCTCTTCAGCAAGACAGAAACACAGACCAAAAAAAAAATAGGAAAAAAAAAAACAAGACACCTTAATTAAAAATTATTTACATTTGCAAAGGAAATATTTTATTTCAGACAGTTGTTTCACCAACAATAAAACTGGTTACGTACAGAGCCTCGTCGCCCGCTACTTCCTCTGTGTCTGACATTTGGTTCTGGTTGAGCTCTGCAAAATGGACCCCAGACTATATTTACACTGGCAAATATTTCTGATCATTAACGACACAACAGACCTGGTAACGGTTCACAGAGAACTGAGTGTTATTGTTATTGGACTAAATAAGCCATAAAGCTCACGTCACCTGAAAAATGTACAGAAATATGTCCTAAAATGATAAATGACAACAAAAAAAAATGTGGGTTAAGAAAACAATCCCAGTCTACAGATCAGATGTATTTTTACGCAAAAAAAAGCAAAACCATTTCCTGATCAATACACATGCTTTTCATGCAAACTCTAAAAAAAGAGAGAGAGAGAGAGAGAGAGAGAGAGAGACGATACTCATACTCTATTAATTTGGATTTTATTCAGATCTTTTTTTTTCTAAGTGAGAAAATTAATGAGTCCAAAACAAATCAGCAGGCGGAGTACGAATGAGCACGTTTCACTCTGATAATCAATATTAAGGAAAACAAACTATAGATTTAAATTCATTTTAGAAGCAGTAAAATTAACTGAATTCATAAATTTGACTTTTTTATTCATTCATTCATGCATTCATTCTTACC